GCGCTATCCTTGGATCTTTTATTTCTAATAGTCATCAACAACTTCCGCGATGTCATCAGTTCTTAACTCATGTACCTTAATTCCCCAAGCATAATGCACCTTCAGCTATAATACGCACCCCTAAAATTGTGCTGAAAGTGTGGGAAAATGCTTCTCTTCATGCATAATACGCACCTCTTGTTGGTAATAAAACCCTATAAATTGTACCTCTCCAATTTCATTACGGCCAGCGTTTCCTACTCTTATTCAAGCTGTAATTGAAGATATTTATCAAATTTCCGATCATTACGATTCTAAAAGGAAGCGGAAATACCTATATTCTACTCTAATCAGAGCGTATCATGCAGAAGCAACATGGCGGCGCCCATAGTTCACCGCATTTTTTCACAAAAAATGGTTTTAAACACAGAATAATATTATTCTAATTTAGTTTTATGATAATTCTCATTTTATTTTACATTTGTAAGTATTGTTAGGTACATGTGATTGTATTTGAGATCCTTATGGGGTCACAATCGCCAAATGTTAGTGTTAAATTGTCGTATGTTAACGGTGAATAATCATTTTGCAACTGAAATCAACCTATGAAACAGCAATTTTTAAAAAATATTTTTACAGCTGTGCATAATATGCACCTCTAATTTTGCTTATTGTTTTTTAGTAAAAATTCGTATACATATACATGGGTAATTACGATATTTATGCTGGTTGTGAAACTAGTAAGTCCGATAGCTCTGATAAAATAAAGTTGGAGGCTGCTCTTGAAAATGACCTCCAATCAGTTGTTAACTGGGGCAAGAAATGGCTTGCAAGTTTTAATGCATCCAAAACGAAACTACTATGTTATAGAGGATCATTTTTGCTTTCCATCAGTATGGCTGATGCTAACCTCCAGAAGAGCAACTCATTGTACCTTCTTGGTCTCACGTTTTTCCATCGACATGAGGTGAAGTGGCGATAATGAATCAATTGTTAGGTTTTCTGCTAGAAAAAATTGGTTCACTCTGTTGTGCCAGACAATATTTCTTGCCAGAATGCATCTTGGCCATTTATAAATCTAGAATTCTATCATGCATTGAATATTGCTGCAATATATAGTCTAGTGCTTCGACTATACATCTCGAGGTTCTTGACAAAATCCAAAGAAGTGTCTGTAATGTTATCAATCCTGACCTGGCATCTCAGTCACACCCTGTCCCCAATGTGGCCTCCCTCTGTCTTTTATAGAAATATTTCCATGGCAATTGTTCTAATAATCCCCCCTTGGTTGGTCGACTGCATGAATTTAATCGTACTAGGAGATTGGAAACTAGATCTCATCGGTTTCCTTCTAGATGTAATCCCAAGTTCTATTCTAAAAGATTCTTTTTTCTTGTCTGTGGAATTCTTATACTGTTTCTTGTTTTCCTGTCACCTACGATGTTCAAAAAATTTAAATGCACTTGAGAAATTGATCCAACACAGTCTGTTTCAGTTGACCTTGTACTGTAATAAGTTAAGATTGATAAATATCTTAACAGTAGTTTATTTACTGTCGGTGCCAAATCCAAGGTATATGCTAGAATTTCGAAAGTAAATTATTTTAGAGAGGCAGGCCCTCCCCAATCTTCTTATCCTTTTTTCCTCTGTCTTTAAATCATCACAGATAACTTTTTTTTTACCTACAAAAACAGAACTTCACTTTTAATCATCTCAAAGAATCCTTTTTACCTTCCATCAATATGGTTGATGCTAACCTTCAGGAGACCAACGCATTGCGCCTTCTTGGTCTTATGTTTTCCACTGACATGAAGTGGAATGATTATATTAAAATCAATTGTTAGGCTTTCTGCTAGAAAAGTTGGGTAACTGTGTCGCACTAGATAATTCTTCTTGCCAGAATGCATATTGGACATTTATAAATCTAGCATTCATTGGCTATTGCTGCCATATCTGGTCTAGTGCTCTGGCTATATAACTCTAGATTCTTAACAAAATCCAAAGAAGGGTCTGTGATGTCATCAGTCCTGACCTGGCATCTTGGCTTCAGTCATTTTCCAATCAACATGACATGGCTTCCCTCCATCTTTTCTAGAAATATTTTCATGACAATTGTTTTAATGTACTTTCCTCCTTGGCATTTTGACGGCATAAATTTAAACAAATTTAAGTTCTTTTTTCTCGTCTGTGGAATTCTTATCCCCTGCTTTCCATCAGTATGGCTGATGCTAACATCCAAGAGAACAACGCAATGAACCTTCTTTTTCTTACGTTTTCCACTGACAAGAAGTAGAATGATTATATTGAATCAATTGTTAGGCTTGCTGTTAGAAATGTTGCTTCAATGTGTGAGCCAGACAATTGTTCTTGCTAAGAATGCGTATTGGGCATTTATAAATCTAGCTATTGCTGCCAGATCAGGTCTAGTGTGAGAATCATCATCAGCATCAATTACAAAACAATAAATGTGTCATCAGCATCAATACTGAATTAGACTAGATCTGGCTAGAGCAGATCTAGTATAATTCAGTATTGATGCTGATGATGATTTGTATAATAGACAGAGGGAGGCCACAATACATTGGGGACGGGGTGTGACTGAGGTCGAGATTTTTCCGCACTTATACAATACAAATATTTCCATGGCAATTGTTCTTATGAGCACTTCCACTTGGTACCTCGACTGCATGAATTTCATTGTACTATTAGATTGGTTTCCTGCCTGATGTAACCCTAAGTTCTATTCTAATAGTTTTTTTTTTCTCGTCTGCGGAATTCTGACCCGCTTTCTTGCTTTTCTGTCACCTACAATGTTCCAAAATTTAAATTTAAAGCAAGTAAATACAATCCATTCTTCACGTCTCTGTTCACGTATTAGCACTTCACATTGAAAATGACTCATATTCCACTACGAAGAAGCAAGTAAATACAGGATCAAAGTGTAGTAGCTGTAAGCTTTTAAAGTGTACATGCATATTTATATATATATATATATATATATATATATATATATATATATATATATAGAAAGAAAGAAAACAGTAAGATATATAATCCGGTATTCTTATTGATATTATTATTTTTACAAAATAGTGCTCAATGTAAATTTACAGAGCATTAATTCGTTTGAGGATGAAGTGGAAATAATGTTTTTAACTTAATTACAAAATTAAATTCGAAGCTTTTAGCTTCCATTTTTGAAACATGGTTATTACTGTGTAGCGAAAAAAAAATCATATTTTAAATCAGTTAATATATATATATATATATATATATATATATATATATATAGATAGATAGATAGATAGATAGATATAGTTATATATATATTAATAATAAATTAAAATGGTAATCTGTAGTGAATTTCCAAGTGGATAACGATCCAAGGAGGGCACTATGTGGGAGACTGAGAATAATTGGGGAATTATATTAAGAACTTTTACTATCGTACGGTAAATTTAAAATCTTTCGTTGAGTTCTGAATATGTATTAAAATATCCTTAACCAAACACTATGTTTAAGATAAATTTCTAGAAGTTTGTTAAATGGAATATGTATACTTGATATTCTTAGCCAATAAGTGACACAGACAGTATTTCTTATTTCCCATTGACTTAACAAGATTTTCATTCAAC